GGGTGGTATCTAAATGAAACTATTCCTCAAAGAAAACAAAATAAAACAATCCAAGTACCAAAGAACACTTCTCAGTTTTTCTTTGTGATTAATGAACAACTTCTCATAACAAAATATGAATCAATAAAATTAAATCTCCCTATTATTTCTTTTGAAATCAATAATTATGATGAATTCCTTAAATTTAATGGGGTGTTTAATCTTAAGACTAATAAGTTTGTTACTTCTAGAAAACAAGAAGAACTAGCAAATAAATTTAAAAACATACAACCATTCTCAAAAATATCTGGTGTTGATAAAGGTGATAAAAAAGAATTTCAACAATTTATAGTATTTAAGTTATATGATAAAGAAGAACCAGAAATTATAAGTAGAACATCATTTAAACCATTTAATGAATTGTATAAAGAAGTGAATAACCAAACAGATATAGAAACTTCCAAACAAGATGATTTAAAAGAACGTATGAGACAAATGGAATTAGATATAAATTCAAGAATTCAAAAAATGAAAGAAGAATTAATTAAAGATAAACAAAATAAAATTACAGAAGAAGATATTAAAAAAGAATCTATTTTATATAAAAATGGTATGTTAATGAAAATATTTAAAGAAAATAATAAAATTAATGTTAATTATAAAATTGATCCAAATGATTCAATATTACTCTGTTTATGTCAAGAAAGGAATTTACAAGAAATAGATAACTTAATGAATACTAATGAATTTAAAAGAGTATTTAGTTGGAAACGTGGTGAAGGACCATTAAGTATAAGTTCATTAGATCTTCAATATCCTAAAGTAAGTATTTTTATTGAAACAGTTGATAAGAGTATTTTCGGATTTTGTGCATTATATCAAGAAGGGAAATATACTAAAGGATGGTTTGTCTCATTAGAAAATCCACAATCAATTAGTCCATTATCATATGAAAAAAATAACCCAAATAATATTTTTATTATTCCATCAAGTTCATGTTATGGAATAGTTCTTGTAGGTGGAAGTTTAACAATACTAACAACATACATTAACATTTCTCATCATTTTAAGAAGAGTTTTAATATACCATTTGAACTCGAATTTTTTATGAATCTAAGTAATAAATCAGTAATTGAACATAATGCAATACAAATATATTCATGGAAATAAAAAATTATTATTAATTACAATATTTTTGTAATATTTATTTTAATTATAATCAAAATCAAGAATAAATATTAAATTAAGGTTAAATAACTTCAACTATTGTTCAAATGAGAATTTTTTTCTCATCCTTCACTCTCTGAAGAGTCTAACTCTTCTGGTTATAATCAAAATTAAAATTATAAAAATGAATTAAATTGAACATATATGAAGAATTAATTTTTTGAATTCATTTTTAGATATTTCTTTTTTTCCAGTCACAAATTCAATCATTTGCTGTTCATTGTAATCATTCATAATAGCAATAAACTGAAACTGAACTAATACATCTCTAAATTTTCTTAAAGGAGAACGAATAGTAGAATAACAAATACTACGAGAAACATCAATACTAACAATTGCTAAATCATTATAAATATGAAACAAATCAACTCCTACTGTATTAGATAATATATAACCCATACGTTTAACAAAATTATGAATTTTATCTATTGAAGGTGCACGCAACATATTTTTATTAATTAATCCAATACATTTTTGAAGTGACTTTAATTT